AACTTGAAAAATCAGCAGTGTAACAAATAGTTATTTGCCCCACTGTATTTTGTTTTTTTCATGCAGCTTGTTGGCAATAACAAAAACATAGAATATCACCAGCTTTATCTTCTGTGGTTTTATATTATGTGCAGTAGCAAATGATTTAAAACTAGTAAGTAAATTAATTCTAGTGTACCATCCATTCCATTACATTATTTTTTTTTATAATAAGGAAATAATGAAAGATTTTATTGTTCTGCAACATCAATGTGAGAAGACATTACCAGTACTACATCAAATGCAGTGATGTTTTGTGTATGTGTGTGTGTTTCAATCTTCCCTGACCTTTGTTTTATTTAATTAGGGGGAAAAGCAAAACATATTATGACCAGTATTAATAGTAAATAGTTTATATTTCCATCCTAAGAGTTCTACACTATGCTGCAATTGATTAAAATTGCTAAGTAAATTATGATTAATTAAACCTTTCAGTTACTGTACTTGTGGGTATTTATCTTATTTGATGTGCTGCTGTATATTCATAGGTAACAAAATACAAAAAAAACCTACAGTACAGTACCATTGGAGACAGATGGTCTGACATATGTTCTCTACCCAACTGCCTTTTTGGATGTGGTATACTCATGCACACATAAACACACACACACACACACACACACCTACACACAAAACCTAAAGCCTGAAGATGCGGTGTTTCTCACCATCCCATGAGCCCACAGTAAGAATAAGAGTGACAGTTTCAGGATTAACATAGTGGCATTGTGGTGGTGATACAGATGGGGCTTCAGTGTGTCTCTAATGAATACGGTCTGTGGAGACAGTAGACCTGTCTGCTGTATGTGCAGAGGTTTATACACTGCGGCTCCACTTATTGGCTTGGCCTCAGTTCAGGTCCCGCTAAGTACGAGGTGATGATGTGAGGGCTCTGTGAGTGTGACATGGGTAGTGTGACTCTGTAGCTCCCAGTAAGCATGCTCCCTGTGTGTCTCTTTATAGTCTAGAGGGGGCTGGGAGCCAACAGGGGACACGTACTGTAGCAGCAGTGAGGTGGGGGAAAGACTGTACATGATGGAAAAAGACAGCAGGGATCCAAAGAGGAGAAGGATGAGTAGACGTTCCAGTCAATAGTTTGCTCCAAGAGTTTCTATAATGTACATCCCCATTCAGCAGCGGAGAGTTAGGAAGGGGAGCAGACAGTGACAGCTACAGGAGTCCATTCTGGAGATGGGTAGAGAGGAGTGGTAGCACAGAGATGGAGAGCAGCCAGAAAGAAAGGCCTGACCGCTTGCATTCACCAGAAGATCGCGTTCCTCCAAAGTAAGCCACCTGGGCTGCACAGAAAGAGGTGAAACAGAGGGCATGGAAAAGTTAATCAACATCTGCATCTTTATGGCTAAAAGAGAGTTCATTCACTGGGGCAGTTGGTCATGCAAGAGAGAGGGGTGCAGAGAGGGGACACAGTCAGCGGAATGTTAGCACCTCTTTAAATCAGAGTAATTAAAGCAGCTTAAGTCATGTTGTTGTCTGGCACTTGTCCAGATCTTGATAATCCAGCTAAGGCTGCAGTGTGTCACAGACACTTTCCCTGCATGAAAAACGCAGCTCTTTTCATTCATTTGAATGGAGAAAGTGCATGACGCAGTACCGCAGGGGAAAAGGCTGGATCTGCTTCAACTTTTTCTCCAGCACAATGTGACATCAATGTAAGACACTGCACTGGCTGATCACATACTGTGCATGCAAGAGCGCTTTCCTTGCAGATTACTTTGTAATGTGAACGCAGTTAAAGCAGCTGCCGCCATGATAGCTTTCCAGAGTTGTCTCAGAGTTGCCAAAACCACTGTGCAGTGTTTTGGCATCTATTACACTTTAAACACATGAATCCATTCCTCCAATTTTAAGATTGTGCCCCCTCTTACACAGCTCCTTGTATAATGCTGTCTACCCTGACCCTACTTGGACCACTCACCCACACAGGCTGACCCATCATCATTGGGCTCAAAGCCCTGGTTACATCTCCTCTTGGTGCGGCACTTATAGCTACCATAGGTGTTGGTGCATACAGGGCGATCAGAGGGACACACAGAAGGGAACTGGGTACATTCGTCTTTATCTGAGGGAAGGAGAGGTGAGGAAAGGGAAGATGCTTTTTGTCTTGTTTTTAAACAAGGAAACAATCACAGTGGTCAACAGGTTGATAAATCTTCAACTTACCAGTGCATCGACCGTTCTCATTCAGAGCAAACCCATAACCACACTGCAAGAAACAGTCAGGCTCATCAGAAACACATTTTTACACCGAATACTAAAATTATTTAAAGCCACTATTTGTAGATTGTTTTATATATGAGTAGCGAAACAACAAATGCACATGCTGTCACCCTGTGTAGCATCTTTAAGTTGGCATTGTGATGGCATATGGTTTTTGTTTGCAGAGAAATTAGACAATCCTAGTAAATTGGTGCAAAATTGGTTCAACAATGAGCTGCTGAGTCCTAACTACCTCCACATGCTTTCCACTTTCTGTGCATTGTGTACAGTCCTTCTGTGCTAGAACAGTGCCTGGCCTAGCCAAGTTTGCTGTTTTGTGCTTTTACTAAACACATTGCTGAGATTCCCTTTAACACTACCACTCAACAGTAGGTAATAAAGCTAATAACACATTTATTATTTCAGTTTGTATTGTGTTTTAGGGGTGGTCTTGCACCTAATCTGTTTCTGCAAAGTCTTTTAGGTAATGAGATGTTAGGACTATTGAGAATCCCTACTGTACCTCTATTTTCACAGTAGGAGTAACTTCATCTTCTTTTGGATAGTGGATCTCCAGCAGTGAGTTGATCTCTGAAGGTTCAAGGGGTCGGGCCACGGAAACACCATCTGGCCAGTACACCTCGACACTGGTAGCCACATCCTTACCTGGTCAGACATAACGCACAGACACACCACACGCAGACAATCATTCATATGATGTTTACTGACCTATAAAGGCTCATACGTTAAGGTCCATACTGTACTGTAGGTTGTCGAGAGTGGTTCTCATGAAACTTCCTCCTCCTCTTTTCCACTGACACGCACAGACAGAGTGGCACCCTTGTCTTCTCTCTCCATTAACCATCTTAATCAGGCATAGTGAAAGCCCCTCTCCAGAGAGCGTCTGCAGCACTTAATTAAAGAGGAATTTTTAATGTAAAAAGATCTTGAGTTACCCTGCCTGACAGCGATCCACCTAGCAGGTGTGCTGCCCATAGAATTTCACTTGCTCCCACATGACACCCTCTCATATAGTTGTGGGGAATCATGTCTACTAGTAGTGATGCATTTGTGAAGCCAGGATGGTGTGGAAAGTTTGCGCTTAATGTGTTATGAGTAATCAGACATTAAAGCTGAAGCCCTGCAGAGCTGAACTGTGCTTGATACAGAACAGACTCAGCGAGCAGGGCCAGAGAGTAGATGTGGGTGGACTACCAGCTCTGGATGGCCACCAGCAGTCTGTCCTAGCATGACAGGAGCAGGCAGGGCTCCTCACCAACTGTGTTGCCCTACAGCTGCAGGACTCGGCCCCCATTTTTCCCCCACTTTGTCCTCACACAACAACAGCACAACTCCCATGGTTGTCTAATGAAGCCGGGGGTATTATAGTTTTCTTTCCCCAATTACTAAGACATTTTCTGAAACAATTCATTATTTTCTCAAAACAAAAAACACATTCTCACATCTGTACAACCATCTCGCTTGCAGATCAAAATCAGACTTTACTCTCAGAGAAGACACACAAGTAGCCAAAAACACACACTACAAGTCTGTCTCATACACAGTAGGGGGATTATTTTAAAACACTTAAACCAAAAAAGTCTTTTCCCCCCTAAAATTTGTATTTTCAGGCCAACTTACTGTATATTAGTTTGAGTTATGTAACATTGTAGCACTGCCCATATAGATTACTCTTACAGCAACGCACTGTCAAGAGACATTCAATACTATACAACATATAGAATGGTGTAAATATAATTCCAGCTACACTGCATCATTCTCCATACTTCATACTACTCATAATTCTATCCATGTCTCATAAGATGTTAACCCTTTCCAGGCACTGTGGGAAGTGTGCTGTGGTGTGCCTCATCCACCCTCGGCTGGCTTCCAAAGACACATCCCCACAGGCCACCAAAAGTTTTTCCTTCATGTAAGGGTTGTTGTCATGCACTTCCTATCGCCATGCTTAGAGAAATACACAATATGCGAGTAAGAAAAGATAAATGAATTGAACCAGGTGAGAACCGGAGCAGCCTGATGAACACTACCATTATCCCAAATGATAATGCCCTGGGGCTGCTCTGTTTGACCTGCCTGCCCTTGCTGTTGAAGATGTTTGGAAAGGAATACAAATACATGCACTGTGTTATATGGACTCAAAGTTGTAAAGTAATTACTCATGGCGTGCTTGACCTCCAGCACCCTTCTGATGTCCTCCACCTTCTGCTTGGTTGGAATCCACTGTTCCAGAGCACATAGGCAAGCCAATGGCCCTTGTTAACGGATTCTGCAATTCTGACTGATGCCTCACAAATTTTGTGGCTTAGTGTTTACACCTGGAGAAAAGTGTGCTCACTGAACTCACAGGGTGATGATTTTAGTTTATTGCATTGATTGCAATGAATGCAGTGAATGAGCATAAAGTGTCATGAATGATTCATTTGATGACTTTTGTGTACAGCATATGTATGTAATGCTCATTCTTTTCATTTCTATCTGTCTGTCTCAGTGTCTGTCCTTTAGTAGAGAGTATTGCTGAAACAATTTTACAAGTCTTTATAAAAAAAAAAAAGCCAAACACTCACTGGGTTCAGCTTCCACAGTGTGAGGATATCACTGCAGATTCAATTTTGTTGGGTTTGAGGAGATGAATCTGATAAAACACCACCTCTTAAAATATTTCATTGATAAAATATTTAACCTATTAATCACAAAGATAATCAAAAGATTAATTTCTAATTAAACATTCATCAGTTGGCACTTGTAGTTAGTCAAGAAGTCACAGTTTTGTATCTTTTAATGTTTAAATGCAGACTTACCAAGGCCAAAGTGGGCGACAGGCTCCATCTCACACAGGTATCCTGAGCCACCATCAATGATCCGTGTGTGTGAGCCGCTCTTTTTTGTGTACACAACCACTTTAGCCCCTCTGGCAAAAGCACCAAACTTGGTCCGGGGAATCACTCGCAGCCATGAGTTAGTGGCGCCCTGTGAGATGAACAGAATGAAAAAATGGTGGGTTTTTGTTAAGATCTCACTCGATAATGAGTGTCAGTCTTGGTTTAAGGCTTTAAAGATGTCTCACAAACACTCACCTGGTTCACTTTGTAGACAGAAAGTGGCTGTGCAGCACTTTCACCATGAGATACCAGCAGTTCTAGACGCCCATCACCATCAAAGTCTGTGGCTACAGCTCCTGCAGATCCATATGATGCAATTAAACACCTCAATAAACAGCTACACAATATTTATTATTTCATGAAGAGAATAATGGACATAATGCTCCAATAGTCACTGAACTAATTATGTGGAACAAGTTTTTGTTTTTTTCATAAAACAAATGAGGAAACTCATATCCCTGGCGGAGCTATGGTGCCATCTAATGGTATGATGTTAGAGCAGTTTGTTCTCTTCACAGCTTCCCTCCTTTCATACTGTCTTTTCTGCCATACTCACCGGTTCCTCGTCCTTCAGGCTCTGATGCCTCCCCGACATTCAGCTCTTCTATCTGGGGGTCTCCATGTTCTCTCCTGCTCACCCTGTCAAATCATCACAACAATTAACTAGCATATCACTAATTAATGCCATAGTGCTTAATCTTGAGGTACTTGAACATTACTTGAGTATTTCTATTTTATGCTACTTTGCACTTCTTCTCTGCTATATTTCAGAGAACGCTATTTTGCCTTTTAGTCCAATACATTTATTTACCAACTAGAGTAAATAATAAACTAAAGATGAAGATTTTACTGCATGTACAAAAAAGATTAACTTCTAAAGTGTGATAAATTGTTATAAACTATACCCACCAGTACACAAAACAGGTAAAATGACAACATTTTACATTAAGTTGTGTGATTTAATATTTCTATGCAGTATATAAATGTTGAATAAATGGTTCAGAGCACACTAGAATGTAGCTGTCAGCAGATGTAATCATTTATTAATACATTTGTCAGCAACTCTGAAATTCTGCTATAATGATTCAAAAGTGTAGGCTAGCGTATAAAAAAAGGCAATGAATAATAATATAGTAAGGCACAGTTGTAGAAGTCATCATTGTCATTTACTATATATTAATGTCTATAGCTGTCCAACCCACAGTCTACGGACCAACCACATTATATCATGTTATACAGTATTTATTAAACTCACGGCCTATAAACGCTATAAGGGGAGATTTAAAGTATTACCAGAGAAATCAGCTCCCTGATTTTTCATTATTTTTATAGTTTTATCTGATTGTAAAATAGTTTTATTAAATGTTCCTATAAATAAACTGAGTTGACTACATAATGTCATTGTTTGAAAAAAAAAATCACCTTACCAGCTACCATGTGCCCTAATGACAAAGCACTTTGGTTAAGTTATAATTTCATTTCACTGGGCACTAATGTGCTGATCCTGGCTGTTAAACCTCTCAGCTCAGCTAAATATTGATTAGTTGCATTGAATTAATTAACATGAGCACAATAGTTTAAGGGTTTTTTTTTTTTCCTGTGCCAGAGAGCATTAAATTAGCTGATTCGTCTTCATACCAGACAATGACTGAGTCAAAAGGCTGAGGAGCAATGACCCCTGTCAGACCATCATTGTGTCCAGAAAGACAAGAAATGTCCTCCACTGACCCAAAGTGCTGCAATAATCCAATCCAGGAACTCTCTGGGCTTTACGCTGATTATTGATATTCACTTTGAATTGACCCACCAGCTCATGACAACATTCATCAGGACTTCTGCATCCTGTTGTTGCCAGATCAGATTTTCATTCAGGCAGGATGGGATCATTCTAGTATTAAGTCCTTAACAATTGATATGTATCATATTTTGCATTTTGAGAGCTGAGCTTATTAATATTATCTAGAGAGGAAGCCAAACCGTGAGCCAAAAAAAAAAGACCGAAAACTGTCTTAATGAAAGAATCGTTCATGTGTGGAGAAGGAGGCGGGATGCCAGACTAGATAAGTAACCTTGGTTAGGAATTTAAAATTCTTCTCATCCTCCAAGCCCAGTTTTAGAATATTAAATTAAGACACAAGAGTAGTCCTTTAAGTTCACCATCAAACTGCTAATAAAACTTAGTACTGTCATACTTGTACATGTGTATATGTATGTCTCAGCATGTATCTTGTGTAATTTCTGTGTGAGTACCTAAAGAGCCTGTTGGCGGAGGGGCCTCTGTAGGCAATGTTATTGAAGAAGACCTCCAGCTCGTTGTCATTGTCAAAGTCTGCAGCAATAACGGTGCGAACCGGGGATGGCATGGAAAACTTCTGGGATGCTATGTCCTTAAAAATACAAAAGCAAAATGTGCTACATCAGTGAAACATGTGCGTATGTGTACAGATAGAATTTACCAGCAGATGATGCTGTTAGAGTAAACAACAAAACTACATTCTGAGCAGTTTTGGCAGAACTTTTCTAGAACGTGCTTTTATTTCAGCTCCTGTCTTATAAGAGTTCAGTACAATATGTGACCAGGTGATGGGAGCTGATGGGAGCGAGATCACAAGGTCACAAGTTCAGTCTCCACAACAGATATGCCCATCAATATCCAGCGCCCAGTCCCTGAGTCAAACACTGATCTGTCATCTGTTCATACACTCACTATAAGTCATCTAAAGCCTAAGGATAAGAACAAAAGCTCTTTTCACATCCCCTGGCACCAAAAAGGTAGACTGCAGCTCTCCTGCCCAAAAAGCTCTCCTCAGCAGTGGAGTTTTTGCAATAGAAAGTAACGGATATCTCTCCGCTTCAGTGACACTGTGATAAGTTGGGGAAGAGTTATAACGCAGCCCTTCACTCTCTCCAGTATTTACTCTCTGTTTTAATTATAAGGCTCATAAAGCTGCAGGGGGTGGAAAGGGCTACCCACAGTGACCTTCTGCTTCACAGGTGGAGGAGAGGCGATGGCCAACTGAGGTCATTAGGGAAGGAGAAAGCGGAACCGCTGTGCTTTATTAATAGGTAGATGAACAGATGTGCCATAAGGAAAAAAGTGAATATCACCAAAACAAATCTGTAGCATAGGGGTATAAAATTTACAGGTAGATAGAGGTAAAGGTTTGAGGAACAAATATTCAGTCTGTGTATATAATAGATATAAAGTATCTCAAAATGGAAGGTAACTCAGATAATCAAGAAAACTACAAATATTTGTACTTTTAAGTGTGTACTTTAGAATGTGACTCATTTCTGTGTTAATGATTTAAAATGATATAAATTATACACCCTAATTATGGTGAAATAATTATTCAAAACACCACCCTCTAATAACTTTATATTCATATAAAAGACTCCGAAAGTGTGTACATGTTATACCTATTGCAAGGAAAACCAGAAGATTTTAATTAAAGTGCAAACGGGCCTAATCTGCATTTTCCACTACCCTGGCAAGCTGCTGTTTCAGCCCAATTTAATTAGCGGTTTACTGGAGTGATACAACAGCTTCATTATGCATGCCAAAGGTCAACACGTCTAGTAGGGGTGTCAGCTTGCGTATGGGAAACGGGTCCTAAATATGTTGTGGGCTTGTGATTTAATAATCTTGATTAAAAAAAAAACATTGTCTAGCTAATTCAATTTGTCTTCTGTGTGTATTCATGTGTATTGTGTGTGTCGCACTGATGGAACTGTCTCTGTCCTAAGCATCACATTTTAACCCCTTCTTTGACCCCTATAAAGATGCCTCCTGTGACATTTATCTTTTTGGTAAGGGAGGTGGTTGCAGGTGCTGACAGATTGACATGCAGCAGAGGCCATCTCTGTCTCTACCACTCTTAATTATACAAGCACATGCACATTGCTGCTGGCTGTCTCACTGGAGTTATCTATAGAGCGGTTGATTGAGTAAATCACCAGCCGTCAGTCTTTAAATCCCACTCGGTCCCACTGACTGAATTCACTAGCCGTCCATTAGCACCAATAACTCTGTGATTCACAGAGTTAATGGTTGAGATTTGTCGTTTCTGTGCGGCCTGCTCATTAGACATTGATTCTGGCCAGAGAGAGAAGAGAGAACCACAACCTGCTCTATAGCTCTCTGATGGCACATGGAATCATTCACACAGGGAAGAGATTGTCAGCAAATTCTGCAGATGGGTGACATATTAAAGGAACATCCTTAATAAATTAGTGGAAATTTTAAAAAATGCAGGGGTCACAGATTCATCAGATAATTACTTTCTATTCACAGAATGACATAAAAGTCCATTTTGACTTTCTAGACTCAGAGGTGGTTTCTTCAAATGTCTTTTGTTGTCCAACCAACAAATCCAAAGATGTTCAGTTTATGAGTTTATGACCATGTATGACAAATAAAAGCATCCGTTTCTTACAGTGTAACCAGAAAATGTAATGATGTTTCCTCCTTCCAGCAAAGGAGCAGTGAAGCTGCTCTGGAGATAGTGAAGTGCATGTTGTTCACTTTATGCTAGTTTTTCCTTAGATGTAGTTAATCAGGAGTGTCCACAGGCTGACCTGTGAACAGTTTTCATGGAACTACTTTCTACCAAAAAATAGTCGCAATGATGACTCAAGATCTTTTTTGCATTTGAGTGCATAAGAAAACACCTTTAGACCCACCTTGAACTTCTGTTTGCGGTTATTGAGCTGCATGTACAGGCGATGAGGTCCGTTCCAGTTCCCGTAGACAATGTCTGTCTTGCCATCACGATTAAAGTCTGCCAGAGCAACCCCCCTGCCATGCTGCATGGGGTCCTCCACACCTACAGTTGCATGGTAATATGTTCTATTATACAATAATGTCTATCCTGTGTATTGCACCAGATTCACATGACATATTGCAATTTGACCTGATTTGCTAAAGTGTACACATTCCTCTCACCAGCCTGCTGCGCCATGTCAGTGAAAGTGCCATCTCCATTGTTCCTGAACAGAAAGTTGGGTCCATATTCATTGTCACAAAACACATCGGACAGGGTTTGACTGACAATGGGCCCCACCACAACACCTCGCCCTCCTGCACAGACAAAGATGGAGAGATGGCACTTGGTGGTTAGACAAAGGGTTAGCACAGAAACTGAAGAGGGATATGTGCAATAACAAAGAGCAGAGGGAGCGAGATCTGCTCCATAACAAATGCCAACGGCGGGAGAGCTTTACTGTCTTTCCAGGCCATTTCCTCTGAGCAGGGCAGAGTTTTCTGCTGACACAGACACTGACTCTGGTGGATTACACACAAAGACACAAATAAACACACCTAGACACAATGCAAAGACAGAGCACATGCCGAGATTTTTTTTAACCAAAATCTTTGACTGTTCAGTGCACTCTTAATATCACCACAGGATTTTCCAGTGACATTCCATAAAGTGAAGTGTCTCACTTACTGTAAGTGTCTCATCTCAGATCATCAGTCTAATTATGGAGTTGAAATGGCTTTGATTGCCCTTCCAGTATGCAGAGTCAGTGCAGTGAGTCAGGACTTTCTCCTGATTTACTGGCCTGCTCCATCAGCCCAGACAAATATTACTCGCCCCCTACAGCTATAAACTACATGTCTCTCCAGAGACTTGTAACCATTAGATATACAACTTCAGTGACTGCTCCTCTGCTCTGATTAACGGCACTTTGATGACAAAGCCGTCCACTGTACATCACTCACACCAATTTTAACCAGCTCATTCTGCCCCTCTGGTGGCATGGATGACATCCTGCATGTAAAAAGATGATGAACACTGATTCTCTTACACTCAAACACAAAGTTGTCTCCCCTTACCAAAACTTACTTGTTCATCAACGTCAAGGACACTTCTTCAGTGGTTACGATAAAGCGCTGTAGCTTAGAGGCAGCATTTTCTGAACGCATGACGGTCAGTGTTATGAGAGAAACAATCATGGTGATATTAATCATAATGGTATTTACTGTTCGCCTCCTCTGTACCAAAGTTAAGACAGAGAAGTGTGTGTGTGCCATGTGAGGAGATCCTTTTTGCACAAAAAAAATAAGAAAATTGTTTTCATTAAAAAGCATAATACTCTACACACGTTTAAATACACAAAAGGTTAATGTCATATAAAACTGCAGTGAGAAAATAAGAACCAGGTTGTGTGTATGGTGTGTTTACTGCACTTGGAATAAATGTAAATCTGACCTCATTTTCAGATGCCTATATATCTGGCTAGAAGGGAGGGTGTAAAATTGTTGTTATTGACTAAAATAGTCTGGAAAATAGAAATATTCACATGCTTTACTGGGAGGAACCACACTAGGCTGTGATAGATGCCACCTCTAGTCCGTTGGGCTGGTCTGAGGTATGTGTGTGTGTATCGCCCGTCCGTCATCGCCCAATGACTTTGACTGGAGTAAACAGCTGACAGGGCCAAAAAGAGTCCAGCTACACTTCTCATGCTCTATCTCCATCCCTCTCTTTTTTCTTTCACACTTACACATGTTGTTTCTTCTTTTTTCCTCACATGCCACCTCTTCAACCTCTCATCCACCGCCCTCTCTGTACTAGAGCCCTATAAATCATACTCTATGAGTACAACTAGCACATGCTCCTCTGTAGTTGTCTATATAAATCAGACTGAAGGTCCTGTAGTGCTGGATAATTTTAAAGCAACAGTCTATGCCACACCCACCCACACACACGCACACACACACACTGTAATTTCTTCACACCTACCAGTGAACTTGTTGACTCCGGCCTGCTCTGCCACGTTAGAGAGGGCAACAACACCCTGTGAAAGGTCACTTGCTGCCTCATCCATTTCTAGGAGAGCATGCGGACCCACGTTACCACTGGCATAGTTCGCTATGTAGATAGCATAATGGCCAGTACCCTGGGGAGGGAAAGCAAACACTGATTTTCAGTTTTCAAGTTGTCTCATTAGTGATAAACATGATGGCACGTGTTTTCCTTTAGGTTTAAAAAAAAGGCACAGTGTTGCTGAAGCATCAAGTCAACACTGCTTATCCTTTATTCTAAAGTGCTCCTGCTTCCTTTGCAGTTTATTACAAATGTTTTCTATATGAGCCTGCCTCTACTAAATGAACCAGCTTATCATGGTGCACCAAGCGGAGCAGCACCCCTGCCCTGCAGTTCTGAGTGCATAGCCTACACACAAATTTACATTTATTTATTAATATAGCTCACAGCAGAGCCATAAGAAACCATATTTCATCAAAATTACAAAACCAACACACAAAACAAAATCCAGTATAGTTAGTTATAGCTTGCCTTTAAAGGAATCAATTGCTTGTCTAGGTTTTGAGATGCCACCACGTTACAATGCAGGTGAATGAAATTTTATTCAGATTGTTCTCAGTCAACAGTTTTCATTGACAGTTTCTAGAAAGACATGTTGTTGATTTTTGTAAAATGTTAATTTTTCAATGCAAACAGCACCATAAACACAGTTCCATCCACATCATCTGTACTGGGCTGGAGGCAGACATTTCAAAGACAGATACTTTAACTCAATATCTGCTATATTTTTAAACTCTGAATGTTTTTCAAATGACTTTTTGCCCCAATAAAGCTCCTGTGCAGGCATTCTTTCACTTACACTGCAGTTTTTAGTAAACATTAGGCCAATTAAACAGGAATAAATAGTGCATTTGTTGTGGACTATTCTCAGATGTGGACTAATGTGTGTGGAACTGGTCCTAAAGAATAAAACACAATGCCCCTGTTTATTGTTATGAAGGCATGTGTCACACAATGCAACAGTTTTTAATTGCTTTTGGGCAACAGTGGATCTCTGTGGCACTGAGAAATACACTATATCACGTTCTGGCTACACAAACAGTGCTGTTGATATTGGTCTTTTTATGGGGATTGTTAACAGTATGAAAATCATAGAAAATCACCAGACATCATTTTTTAAATTATTGTCTACTTTTGAATACTATGTATATTTTTACATTTTGCCAATCAAACCCTTTCTTTTCCTCTTTATTGCCCCTTACCCGCTTTCCTACCCTTTACTCCATCTTTCTCAGCTTCTCTCCCTGCTCCTTCCACTGCCTCCCTTTAGAGATTAATTTCACACTCCATTATCAGTCAGAGTCCCTGCAGACACAAACTCACTGACGGAACCATGCTAATAGACTACACACTCAGTTCCAATGAGCTTTCCCACCAGGCCTAACATATTTCAATCAATACAAATGCATGCACACATGCAAAGGGACACACATACTCACCACTTCACCATTTGTGTTACCCTTACTATATTTTTGCAAGACAAGAAAAGTAAATGAGTCTGGTTGATGTAAATGTCATCAAGCATCACATTATGGCCCGCTGAGGAGGGAGAAGCTGGTTGCACATACACACGTGCACACGCACAGAACTTGACAAAATGAGAAAGAACAACAATGAAAGACCTGAAGGGCGCTGGCAGTTACTTAACAAACTTAAAAAGCCAACGGTTTTTCAGTAAGTCTTCACTCAAGGCTAATTTCTGACACTGCAATTGCCGTTATGAATGGCCTGACATGCCTGCAAAGTGCATGTCGGTGCAGGGATATGTGACTGCACATCCTTTACGGCAGAAGCCTGAATAATCTTTATCTCTGATGCAGCATTTTCATTTTTGTTTTCAGAAACAAATGTATATTGTGCCCTTTTTTTTTTGAAAAAGTGTTTAAATTATTTTGGCTTTTAAAAACCACTTGTTTCCAAAAGCTCCATCTCATGTGCCAGTGCAAGCTGAACTGATCCATCAGTTCAACGTGAGACCACTCAATATGTCATGTTCAGACTGGGAGAGACAAAATGGCTAGATGACTAATGATTCCTTTTTTCCTGAATGATAAAACAAGACCAAACACATTAGCCACTGAGTGGACTATACAGCATGCTATGGTTTTGGCCTGTGTTACCTTCTGCTGTTGTTCCACATCTGTTCTAATGAAACTTGTTTAACAAAAGGAAAATGTGTTATCTCTCTCTTCATGTGCAGGAACTGGCATGGAAGAACACACATCAGGGTTTGAGCTTCCTCTAAAAGCATTATGCCATTAAAAGTAGATATCTTTCCAATCGGTTTGGCAGCGGCACAACCTATCAGTGCTCAGTGAGATGGGACTGTGACTTTTAAAAAAATCTATTGTAATTCTTACTGTCCTCTTCCCACTATTACCTTCTTTATTCCACCCGCTGATTGGAAGTGAAAACTGTACACATGTGTGAGATAAGAGACAAAGAAAGAGCATGAGCGTGTCAGTCACAGGGTGAAAAAAGGGGGCGAAGGAGGTGGAAAGAGGGAAGAACACAATGGGAGAAAGGGACTGGGAGATAAAGAAAATGCTAGGGGCAGAAAACAGTAGTGTGCAGTCATCACTCCTCCCCTTGCACAATGTTCTATAAAACAAACGAGCCCTGGCTTCTGTAATTACACCGGTGCGATGGGCAGAAGAGAGAAAATGGCACACCATTCCACCCAAATGAACTGTCATAGCACATGCTGAGAAGGGCGGCATAGGCAGAGCATGAGTTATCACTGGTAAACAAACAGAAGCACCCATGCATGCATGCAGAAGACACACTGGGGAGTTTGTGTGTGTGGTGTCGATTTGCATATACTCTAGTTTGTGTGTATAGTACCTTTCTGTCCACACAGGCCACTGAGCGCCCAGCCATGCGGTTTGCTACATCTCTGTGTTCGTTAATGTCATCATTCAGCAGATCCTCAAAGCGTCCATTGCGGAACTTAAACAGCTTGTCAGAATATGTTGCCCGACCTTGATGCGAGGAGACACAGAGTTCAACAGAGGCAAAAGCTGTGTGGCGAGTAAAGAGGTATTATGCAATACAAGAGTAGTGAGTGATTGGAAGAAGACGAGCAAGACCCTGTGGCTGAAAGTGAGCATGTGATACAGGAGTTTTTATAAAAATGATAGAGTGGAGGTGTTTCACTTTTGGCAGCATGTGCTGTGTAGCTCTCTGATTAATAGCAGCACAACGCTTATTTGTTATCTGATGAAGACTCAGATGAGATAAGCTTAATTTCTGCATACTGATTCCCCTGCTTTGTCTCTGTACAAGAAGAGTTATAACCTCTGTGTGCATCTGTGTGCTCATATGCATTTGTATTTTTTGCAAAGGTGTCTCAGCTTGTACTGTACCAGAGAAGGCATTATTGGTGTTAAGGACATAAATCTCCTCCCGACCATCTCCATCAATGTCACAGGCTGTGACGCCGATGGCGTTGCCTTGACGGTCCCTCAGGGCGTAGAAAGGGGAGCTGCGGTTGTCAACAGCGATGTTGACAAGCCTCTTCCTCTGCTTGTCATACTTTAGCACCAGGTTTGGGCCGTTGTAGCTGTGAACAGG